AGAGAAGACAGGAATAGCTCCTAGCACATTCTTCCATGTGGGGCTGAAGCTTTCCAAAGACGCTGCTTCTCGGTTAGAGACTAAAGAGCACTGTGACTGGGGAGTTGGAATGTTGCAGAATGAGAGCCAAAACTGCTGTGGGCTATCCAGGTTCTTTAGAAAACAGCACCTTACCTTTAACTTTTGTATATGGCCTAACACGCCCATGCTTGTTAGGTAAACCTCTCGGAAGGTAAGTTTAGTAACTTAGCTTCCACCAACCCTAAAGCTGAGAGTGCTCTGCGAATGTCTGAAGCCTATAGGAAGATTCCCCCATTTGGTTGCTGCCCACCTACCTGACAGTCCGCAACTGCATGTGTTGAATTCATTGGTTCATGACTCTCTGCTGTCCTATGGCTCTCTAAGTACATGTAATATCTTGCATGATGGAGCATGTCATTTCATATTGAATCCCACCTTGACCTTGGTCACTCATCTTTGCCTCAAAATAAACTATGTTCTTACTTCCTTCAAGGCAGAGTGAAATCCATTCTGCTGATTCAGGTGATGGAGGCCTCACACCCTAAAATAATGTGAGGCGTCAAGCTTGACAGCATTAGCAGAAGGATACCCAGACCCCAGCACAGCCTGGCCACAGAGGGCTCCCAAATGGTGAATTCTCACATGGTACCATCACCCAGGACACTCAGCGGTTTTTACAAGATGCAGGGGCAGCACACGCTGCCAGCACAATAGAACATAACTGAACTTGGACAAGAGCGGCTATGGCAACAGGGTCAAGGCAACCAAACTGAAAACAGTGGGAAAGGGATGAGGCACTACAGCCCCGAGCAACACACTGTGCTGGGGTGTGGCCACTAATGTGTCTGTGACTTCTCTCTGTTCCACAAGTCCCTGGGACAAAATGGAGAGGGGATGGGGATGGGGATGGGGATGGGGAGATAGCCATGTAGAGATTTGTGTCTTTTTTCTTTTCTTTCTTTCTATTTATTTATTTAATTAATTAATTAATTATTATTATTACTATTATTATTTGGTTTTTCGAGACAGGGTTTCTCTGTGTAGCTTTGGTGCTTGTCCTGGATCTCGCTCTACAGACCAGGTGGGTCTCGAACTCACAGAGATCCGCCTGGCTCTGGAGGTTTGTGTCTTAGAACAGCCCAATGCTCCAGTCAGGATGCGCCCCAGACACACAGCACATCTGGCAGCCACATGCCTGGGCCTCCTGAGTGCAACACCTGCTTCAATAACTGAGCCCACTCTTCCCCTTGCTAGGCACCCTCACTTACAGACTCTTCCCCAGGGAAAAGAGAAACCGAGATCTCTAAATCCCTGGTAGTTCACCCCACTGCATCCAGAACTTGCCTGGACACTGACCCTTCCCCATCCCATGTCTCTACTTGTGCCAGGGATCTTGGCTGTCTGGTCCTCATGCTTGTCATGGCTCAAGACCCTCCCCGAGCAGTCATGCAGGAAGAGCTCAGCCTCTTGTTCCACTCTGAGGCTGAGAACACAGGAGGTCGTAGAACACTGCACACACTGCCGTGCCTCATGGCTGTCTTTGCCTATCTTCCTTCCCTCAGGCTCCACCAGCTCAGACCTTCTGAACCATCTTCTACCATTTCCTACAGATGATACAGCACCTCTCACCACCATCACTAGGATGCCCAACAGAGCCAAGGTACAAGCCTGGGATCCCTCTCACAGTCAAGGTGAGTCCCAGGTCCCAAGGATTGGTGGGGCCTGCTAATCACAATCCCCAGGGCGGTCGATGCTGTGGCCCTGGAATACCCAGGGTACTAGTACTTCCGGGGTGGATTATAATCAGGCATTGCTTAAAGAAATAAAAGTACACTCCACTGAGGAAAACACTCCAGGAAATGTCAAGTTCACACCCCTGAAAATGTAAGGAAATACTTTAAATCTATATGAATACTTGGGGGAAAAAAGCTTCTTAAAACACAATGTCTAACTACAGGTGGGAGAGGATGCTGGAGCAGTGCACAAAGAGCAGTTCACTCAAGGTACACCATGCGTGGTTACACCCATGCAAAAGGGCAAGCCTCAGCACAAACAATGAAAGTATCCCGATGAAATGACAACTACGCAGTTAAAGAGGACACATAAAGACAAACCCTTAAAAGTGAATGTCATTCAGCTGGGTTAACCGGGTTGGTGACATTACCTGATGGAAACTTCCTTCTTAAGAACCCCAATTCCATAGGGACTGGACTCCCCTTCATCTGCCTTCCTCATCCATAGGGCTGCCACAAAACCAAGAGAGGTGAAACACTCAAGCAGCGACACCAGTCACAAGAGCTAAGACAGGAAAGCAGCCCTGGTGACCGCCAGTGGCTGGAGGGATGAGGAATAGGAATATTATTCAGCCATGGAGTAGGACACAACCATGCCATCTGCAAAATCAATAGAACCAGAGGGCATCAGGTCGAGTTAAGCAGACACCAGAAGACTATATACTGTCTTGTTCTCTCTCGTGCTAAAACAAGCCAACATAGATGAAGAATAGCGATGGCTGGAAAGTGAGAGGGGGGTTACAGATGCAGGTTTGGTAATAGGTAACAGAGCACAGTGAGGCGAAAGGAGTATATTCTGATGTTCCCAGCATAGTGGAGTGACGCTATCACAGCCTACTGCGGGTTTTTATGAAAAACTAGCCAGAGGCGGTGCGAGGGCTGTGAGATTAAAAAATGCGGTGGCGCACGCCTTTTATCCCAGCACTCGGGAGGCAGAGCCAGGTGGATCTCTGTGAGTTCGAGGCCAGCCTGAGCTACCAAGTGAGTTCCAGGAAAGGCGCAAAGCTACATAGAGAAACCCTGTCTCGAAAAACCAAAAAAAAAAAAAAAAAAAAAATGGCCAGGAAGGAAATGCTAATTGTCCTGACTTGATCTGTACATCCTGCATGTGCATGCTGAAATATCACACTGCACCTCTTAAATCCGATTAATACCTATTAATCAAAATAAAATTATAGATAAATAAAAATAAAATTACATCCATAGCCATGAGAAAAAAATATGAAAGGAAAAATGCTATAAGCAAGGTGATCCATAGGCAGCAAAGATAAGAAATGAAATCAGACGAAAGCAGAAGATGCAGAAAAACCCTGAATAGAAGATGAAAATGAGGGCTGGAGAGATGGCTCAGAGGTTAAGAGCACCGACTGCTCTCCCAGAGGTCCTGAGTTCAATTCCCAGCAACCACATGGTGGCTCACAACCATCTGTAATGAGATCTGGCACCTCTTCTGTATACATAATAAATAAATAAATCTTAAAAAAAAAAAAAAAAAAAAAAAAAGAAGATGAAAATGAGTGTCATGGGCCCCTTCACAGACACACACAAGCATGGCCCCTTCACAGACTCACACAAGCATGGCTCCTTCACAGACTCACACAAGCATGGCTCCTTCACAGACACACACAAGCATGGCTCCTTCACAGACACACACAAGCATGGCTCCTTCACAGACACACACAAGCATGGCTCCTTCACAGACACACATGAGCATGGCCCACAGGGAAGTCTGCTGCTCCAGCCTTGCAGGGTACTTTTAGCTCTGAGATAAGACGATTTCCCGAAGATTCCCTTCCCGACCTTAGGAAGGTAATAAAGCCAAGGGCAAGCTAAGTGCAGTGAGGCAGGACTTCCAGCCAGGAATGGGAGGCCAGGGCTGGAGGATCAAATGCTCAAGGCTAGCTTGGGCTACACAGCAAGAGCCAGAAAGTACCACGGAAATGTCAATACCAGTATGATGACTCTGGAGGCCAAAGAAAAAGCCTCTGAAGATCTCTGACTGATATATTTATACATACAGTATGCAACACATATACATGTATACCTGGACATGTACACATGCATGCACAAATGCCTGTATGTGGATATACACACAAACACATGTATACGTTCAGACATTCCCACAGCTCCATGTGTACCCATGTGTACAAATGCAAATGTATACATATCCACATATTCATTCCCACAGGTATGGACACACCCATGCACACAAACACATACCGCCCTCCACATGCCCATCCATGTGTCCACACACTCATTAGCACACACATGGACTAAAAATACTTATGTCATTTATTCTTCAGTTAGATTCAAACTTTGCTAGAAACACTACATTGCATTACAGTGTCCAGACATTGGAATAAAATGTTTAAAACTAACAGTGGGTATAATAATACCTTTTATTGATAAGGTGAAAACAGTTGGGAAATGGCTACTCTGTCCTATAGCCTGAACAACCACTATGAGACTTTAGCAAAAGGTACACAGAGTGCCTGTGAGCCCCAAGCTGAAAGAAGATTCTGGATTCTTCCAGCAAAGTCACCCAAGATGTACCAAGCCTCACTTTTAGGCTTCCTCAAGTTACTCCTTCTTAGCTCACCCAGTGGGCTCAGCTTCCTCCCTACACCAGACAAGGACACATCGGTGACAAGCCACAGGGGGACAAAGGGGCTGATGCAGGGTTCCCTCCCGGCCGATTTCATCTGCGGGAGAGGTCGACAGTCACACAGCCTCAGCAGGCCACAGTGGGGTGCTCAAAGGAGGGTTCACAGGCCAGGGAAGGTGGATGCCTAAGGCCAGAGGATCAGGGCCAGCTGCACCTTTACACAGCTGAGGTGTGCCCAGGACCCACCTCACCCTCCCAAGCCTGGGTCAACTCGCTACAGGCGCATCAGAAAGATGAGAGATGCCCACATGCCACCCCACGGTCATCCATGGCTCACAAGCAGCTCAGCTGCTTCAGAGAAGCAAGCCCAGGTTGCCTGCCCATCAGATTCCTCCGTCTACCCCAGATACCACCATGAAACACTGAGCATTGAAGTCTTGCCATTAAAGGTAGACTGAGGCTCAAGAAGAGAAGAGGTAGGGACCCCACAACCACAACTGCCCTTTATTATGTCAAAATCCAGCACAGCCTGGAGAGGAGCAGAGCTGACCAAAGGGCCACCTTGGACTGAGCACACTGACCTGCTTCTCGTTCTCATCCTCCAGCCGCAGCCGATCCTCAATGCAGCTTCGAGCCTGCAGGAAGGCCTTCCTCTGTGAGCGCTCCGTCAAGATCCGCACGAAGACGCCATACATGTTCACACCCACAAAGAGCAGGGCATTGGCACCGAGCTGTAGGGAGAGAACAGGCACAGGATGTAGGGTTCATGCTAGTCAGGAACAGGAGGGCCTGGGCCACCATGGGAGCCACCAAGAGGCTCTCCATCAACCCCTCAGCCAGCTCCAAACTCATAGACACCCAGGAGTATTCAAGCACTGCCCAGACCCACAGTGAAACACAGCGAGAACTACACAGGGCAGAAAGACACCTTTGTTCACGCAACAGACGGCAATGCCACAGTGTGTCACGGGACTGAGGGGCAGCTAGATCTAGTGCCCTAGGCTGGATTTTACTCCCTCCCAATTTTTTTTGTTAAAAGCTTGACCCTAGAAGACCTCAGAATGTAACTGTATTTAGAGGCAGGTTCTTAAAAGCCATAATTAAAGTAAAATGAGATCATTAGAGTGAGCTCAAATCTAGCCTGACTGATAAGAGATTAGGATGCAGGACCGTGAGAGGCCCTTGAGGAACCAGCCCTGCCCCAACCTTGATTGTAGAGCCCAGCCTCCAGCACCGTGAGAAAATACATTTCTGTTATAGAAACAACCATCCCCGCCCCCCCGACTCTGTGGTACTCTGTTATGACAGTCCCACAAAAATAATACACCTACAACATAAGAATACGAGATGGCTGCTTTCAACACTCCATGGAACACCCTAGAAAGATTCAGAGGAGCTAAGTCGACAAAAATAAAACCCCAGTAATTGATTTCGCACAAAATAAACAGCAGCACAAGAAAGACTGGCGGCCTGCTCTGCAAACGACCCCTTCCGCCATGACTGCCAGGCTGAGGAGGGGCCCACAGGGAGTCCAGACTCTTAGGCCTACTTTGAAGGCCAGAGGGACATTGCCTGTTTGGTTAGATAGAATTCCAGGAATATAGCTCATGGCCCTGACCCCGCTCTAGTCAAGATCCCACAGGACCAGAAGATGTCACACAGATTGGCAATAGCCAAAGAACTCAGCTCAGACCCCAGACATCAGCTCTAAGGACTTCCTCCTGAAGGTCTCTTCCCCTGGCATGTCCCAGTGCCTAGCAGACCACAGGACCAGAGCTGGATAGAGGCATGTGTCACTGGTCACAGAGGAGCAAGGCAGCCCTCAGAGCAGGGGACGCCTATCCAACCCAAGGAAATGCCGGTCTGTCAGCTGCCACGGTGTAGAACTTCTAGCTGATTAAATGTGGCATTTCCACCTCTGCTTCCTCCTCTGGGAGGAGGGGGATGCAGACTTCAAATGCTACTACTGCTCCTCACAGATTACCTCTAAGGAGTCCAGACATGGCTATGCCACACTCTTTACAGAGAGGACAAGGCCAGTAAACACAGCACAAGATGGACCAAGTGTCTCCTGACAGCTGCTAGGAGAGACTGGGGAGATGTCTAACCAGGAGTGGGCCTGAGACAACCTTGGGACAAGAACTGCTAGGCACCCGGCATATTCCTGAATGCTGACCTGGGAGTAAGCGGGAGGTCCAGTCTGGAACACCACCATATTGGACAGATCTGGGCATCAGACAAGGATCTGGGCATCTTCAAACTCGGGTTGTCTGAGATGACTTCTTTTAAAGTAGATTAAAATGAGGACCGGAACTGGGGACTCTCTTAACAAGGCATCCAGAACTCACAGGTGACTTTAACCCTGACTTGATGGGCAAGCATGGGCAAGCCTGAAGGCGAGTTGTTTCCTTTACTGACGGAAATTAGAGCATACGCTCCAAGCAATGAAAGCAGCTGTTGATTTAGATCTATGTTGCAGGGACCTTCCAGTGGGCTGCATCAAATAAGGTAGCAGTGAGATTGTAACCAGACAAGTTCTTTAATTTTCTTTTGCAATCAATCATCCTATAACTACTTTGTCATCGAACACTAGATCCCTTCTGATTTGGTACCCACCTCTAACTCCAGGAATTCCACCTGTCATAAGTAAAATTTTGCATCTCAAAGTCGTGAACCAGTAGTGGTCACCTGTACTCTAGAAACCTATCAGAGACAGCAGCATATACTGTGACCCTGACCTCACCAGGTGATCTATGAATCTGTGATCCCGACATGGAACTCACTAAGGATGAGAACAAGGGAGTCCCTCTGTGTCCTCAGTAGCTAAACTCAAGCCCACCCCACTGTGTGCTACGTCCTCTTGGCATCTCCTCGCCCACTGAATGGTTCACTGGACCATGTGCTGAGCGCTACAGGCTATTCCAATGGCGTCACTGTGACTCCTCAGCTCACAAGAAGTCAGGTGAGTAACTCAACCAGAGGGAAACATATTATGTACACTGAGCGACTGTTCAGGCCCGCGGGGCTTCAGGGATTGCGGGAGGGTATAGACCACAGCCAATATGGTCTATACCATATAAGAGCAGATTATGCACAGAGCATGTGAAGTCACATGACACCAACAGAAAAAACAACTAGTGCCACCACCTCCCCGAGAGAGCAGTAGAGTTCTCTGGAAGGCACGTAATATGGGAAACGATGGTACAGGATGCACAGTTACTTCAGCCCAAGGGCCAGGCCTGCTGTTTCTAGGGCTCACAGAACCCTGAGCAAGGCCTACCACTGTGCATCAAACCTTCTAAAGCCACTGGATGCTGAGTCCCACATGCAAAACTGGAACCCCAGACGCATGGCCACAGTAGCATCTCTAGATCTGGACACTGAGTATACAGAACATCAGGACCCTCAGCGCATACTGGGTTGGACATCATGGCCATTATGAGGGTGACCCTGTACAAGATGTTCAGGGTCACATGGAGAGAGTGGACGGTGCAGCCTTACGCTCCCCTGGCCCTCAACACAGGACAAAAGCCTAGCCTGAGGGTTGAGAGATCAGGCAGGTAGGCATGTAGGGTAACGGCACCTTTCAGGACAACGTAGCACACTGGGTACTAATAGGAGATCTGACCAGTCCCTGAAGAGCATGGGGATCTGCAATAGGCCAAGGCCAGAGGAATGAGCCATGCTATCAGCTGAGCTGGAGAGCCCCAGAGAAAGGCTTGCACAAGAGGCTACCTCCACCTTCCAAAGGAAGTGAGACACACTCCTTAAAGTAAAAACAACAATTAAAGCCTCCCTTCTGAGCTCTGCCCACATCATATCTTCTTTCCTCCCATGACACTCACCCAGAACGTGTGGGCCCAGATTGAGGGTGTGTGAATGAGAGTTGGCGAAAGAGCTAAGAACCAGTGCATTCACTTGTCAGTGTGCTAGGCCTCAGGGACCACCCCTTCCTCCCTAAATGCACCAGAGCCCCTGTGTGTGAAGTGAGAAGGCTGTGAGGCTGTTGGATAGGCTGGCTGCCCATCTCCACACAGCACAGGGGTATCCCTGGGAGGCCCCTGGCTTCTCGACATCCTTGATCAGAAGTGAGAAGCTCCCTTCTCCATGTCCACTAGCTAAAAATCTGCCTGCTGTAGAAGAGAAGTATATCCAAATACCCTTAGGACATCTGAAAGACTACATCATCAGTGAAGTCAAAATTCTACATGATGCTGTCCTCCTGGGAGCCACTCCAAGGGAAAGAGGTCAGTGAATCAAGCAGCCCGTCCCCCACAGACAGCATTGTGGAGAAGGGTTTGTGGGGGGAAACTGACCCCTTAGGAAGACTAAGGGACATCTGCTAAATACCTCTCACCTGCCCAGGCCTGGCCTGCCTAGCTATCCCTGGACCCTTCACCTCTTATCGGCCAGTGTTACAATTGCATTCAACTGACTGACAAACGTTCACCACCTATGTTATCCACAGGGACAGTGATCCTCTCAATTCTCCCCACGAAGCTTTCTCAACTTCTGGCCAAGGGGGCATTTGGAGCCAATGAAGAACACATTCCCCAGTACATGAAATTGACAATATGGCTGAGTACCTATTCATAATGGTAAGAGGGAGGTGGCTTAGGGTCATATCAGAGACCAAGGAGCCACAGGCTACTGGATCTTCACATGGGAGAGGCCCAGCTCCCATGCTACCTCCATACTCCCTGACGGCATCCTGGCCTACCACCGCCACTGCCTACACTGGCCTTGTAGCAGCCTATGGCCAAAGCTTCTCTCTGGCCTTCCGCCCAGCAGCATGCTTGCCCTTTTAAAGTATCCCTTTTCTCCTCTTCAGCTGTACGTTTTCTCCCTTCTGATCCCTTCCAAGATTCTGAGTCTTTGGCAGTGGGCTCTACACCCCTCTCAGGAGTGGGCGTGGCAAGGATGTGCTCAAGTCCTCTCAACAAGTGTCATGTTTATAAAAGCCCCAATTTCACCACAGGCACAAGCACCCTCCACACCAAAAGAAGGCTCATGCTAATCTCACAGAATATCACGAATATTCCTCACTGAACACCCCTCCCCCACATCAGGCAGACGGCCGGTGCATGACACAGCAGAGCTAACAGGGTCTGTGGGAACAGGGCCAGCACCCATAACTGCTCCACATTGTCCTTGCATCCCCAGCTCACTCTGTGCCACTGACCTCATTCTTCAGACAGACACAGTAAGGGCAAGGAAGAAAACAGGGCTTCCCAGGTGTTAGAACACATGCACAATCCCCTGCAGTCGCCCCTACCTGAATGACGCCCCAGCGATGGGGACAGACCCCCACATCCAAACCAGTGTCCACCTCACAGAAGTAAGAAGCAAATTAGCAGCAAGGAATCATTCACCTCCCCATCAGCATGCCGCATCAAACCCAAAAGACCAGCTGCAAAAAAGTTCAGATGCCTTCATGGCCCCTGCTTGGCCAGGCAGAACCTAGAGAAGAAGGATCTCCCCGGGACTCGGAATTCCTCAAAGCCAACATGCAGCAGGTTCCAGGAAAGAAAGGGACCAGGAGCAGCAAATCCATATGCTTGCCCAGCATGCCCAAAACACCACCAGAGCCAGCTCCTCAGTACAGGGGGAGGCTACGCCTTGGCAAAAGAGTTGGGGTTGTCCACGGGGTAACACACTAGAGTCAGAGGCATCAGGATGAACTTGGTGTTCAGCTTAACTCAGAAGCAGATGGGCTGGAATACAATATTTA